CCCCAGAATTCCCGGATTTCCCCCAGAATTCCCGGATTTCCCCCCAGAATTCCTGGATTTTCCCCAGAATTCCCGGATTTTCCCCAGAATTCCCAGATTTTCCCCCAGAATTCCCAAATTTCCCCCCAGAATTCCCGGATTTCCCCCAGAATTCCCGGATTTTCCGCACCTTCTGTTTGGGCCGATCCCCGGGGGGGTCCCTGGGCAGGCGCAGCCTCAGCCCCGGCCCGGCCTCCTGGGGAAAAACCGGGAATAAAAACCGGGATTTGGGAATTTTGGGGGGATTTGGGGGGATAAAAAATGAAAAAAAAAAAAAAAACCTAAAAAAAAAAACCAAATCCAGGAAAAATCTGGAAAAAAATGCAGGAAAAATTTGGGATAAATCCAAGATGAATCCGGGATAAATTGGGAAGAAATCTGGGATAAATCCGGGAAAAATCCGGGAAACATCCAGGAAAAAATGGGGGAAAATTAAGGAAAAATTCAGGATAAATCCAGGAAAAAATGGGAAAAAATTCGGGATAAATCCGGGAAAAATCCGGGATAAATCCAGGAAAAATCTGGGATAATTCTGGTAAAAATCCAGAAAAAATCCGGGATAAATCCAGGAAAAAATGGGTAAAAATTTGGGATAAATCCAGGAAAAATCCAGGAAAAATCCAGGATAAATCCAGGATAAATCCAGGATAAATCCAGGATAAATCCAGGAAAAATGGGAAAAAATTAGGGATAAATCCAGGATAAATCCAGGAAAAATCCAGGATAAATCCAGAAAAAATCCGGGATAAATTGGGTAAAAATCCAGTAAAAATTCGGGATAAATCCAGGATAAATCCAGGAAAAAATGGGAAAAAATTCGGCATAAATCCAGGAAAAATCTAGGAAGAAATGGGAAAGAATTCGGGATAAATCCAGGAAAAATCTGGGATAAATTGGGTAAAAATCCAGTAAAAATTCGGGATAAATCCAGGATAAATCCAGGAAAAAATGGGAAAAAATTCGGCATAAATCCAGGAAAAATCTAGGAAGAAATGGGAAAGAATTCGGGATAAATCCAGGAAAAATCTGGGATAAATTGGGTAAAAATCCAGTAAAAATTCGGGATAAATCCAGGATAAATCCAGGAAAAAATGGGAAAAAATTCGGCATAAATCCAGGAAAAATCTAGGAAGAAATGGGAAAGAATTCGGGATAAATCCAGGAAAAATCTGGGATAAATTGGGTAAAAATCCAGTAAAAATTCGGGATAAATCCAGGATAAATCCAGGAAAAAATGGGAAAAAATTCGGCATAAATCCAGGAAAAATCTAGGAAGAAATGGGAAAGAATTCGGGATAAATCCAGGAAAAATCTGGGATAAATTGGGTAAAAATCCAGTAAAAATTCGGGATAAATCCAGGATAAATCCAGGAAAAAATGGGAAAAAATTCGGCATAAATCCAGGAAAAATCTAGGAAGAAATGGGAAAGAATTCGGGATAAATCCAGGAAAAATCTGGGATAAATTGGGTAAAAATCCAGTAAAAATTCGGGATAAATCCAGGATAAATCCAGGAAAAAATGGGAAAAAATTCGGCATAAATCCAGGAAAAATCTAGGAAGAAATGGGAAAGAATTCGGGATAAATCCAGGAAAAATCTGGGATAAATTGGGTAAAAATCCAGTAAAAATTCGGGATAAATCCAGGATAAATCCAGGAAAAAATGGGAAAAAATTCGGCATAAATCCAGGAAAAATCTAGGAAGAAATGGGAAAGAATTCGGGATAAATCCAGGAAAAATCTGGGATAAATTGGGTAAAAATCCAGTAAAAATTCGGGATAAATCCAGGATAAATCCAGGATAAATCCAGCCCTTCCCGCTTTTTTCCACTGGGATCAGGAATTGTGGAGGGAAGGAAAAAAACGACGCCAGATCCGGATTTTTTTTTTTTTTAAATTTTTTGGGAATTTTCCAAGAATTCCAGGACTCACCTCTGGATTCCAGGCAGATCTGGGGTCCCCTCCGGAATTTTCCGGGGATCCGGGGGAGTTTTCCAGGCTGGGAAATTCCGGGAATTCCGTGGGACGCCTCATGCTCAGCTCCTGCTGAAGCGGAAAATTCCCAAAATTCCCAAAAAATTCTCATCCCAAGGAATTTTTCCAGCCTGATCCCAGAGGGATTTTTATTTATTTATTTTTTTTTTTTTTGGGGAATTCACCAGGAATGGGAATTTTGGGAATTCCCAAAAAAATCCCGGGATGGGAACTCCTAAAAATTCCAGGAGTGGGGAATCCCAAGGAAAAAAAAAACTCCGGGAATTTTGGGAATTCCCAGCGATCCCCAAACCTTTTAAAATGTTGGGAATGAGGAATTTCCCTCTGGAAAACCGGGAAAAGCATCCCAGAATCCCGGGGAAAATCCCAGTTTCCCAAAATCCATTAAAAAAAAATCCCTTTTTTTGGGATTTGAGGCTCAAAATTCCCAAATTTCCCGGGATTTGGGGCGGGGTTGGATTATTTTTTTTGGGAATGTTCCAGCCCCGCCCCGAGGCCCAGCTGGGAAAAGCGGGAAAAAAAAAACCGGGAAAAAAAAAAAATTAATAAAAATTGGGAAAACTCCTGAAATCCCAGCTGGAAAATTTCGGGATTCGTAATTCCCAACCCCTCCCCCCCCTCCCCAAAAAAAAATCGGGATTTTGGGGATTTTTGGGAGAGATTCCCGAGGAATTCGTGGGAAAAGGGAGCCGGGAAAATGCCGGGATGAAGTTTGGGGTTGGAATGTGGGGAAAAAAGGGAAATTTGGGATCCCTCAAAATTGGATCCAGGAAGGGGAAAAAAAAATCCCGGGAATTCCGGGAATGAGGAAAAGGAAGGGTCCGGGAATTTGGGGGAGGGGTCCCGCGGTTTTTAGGGAAGGGATTCGGGAATTTTCCGGGAAGGATTTGGGAATTCCGAAGGGATTTGGGATCCCTTGAAAATCCACGAGGGGAAAAAATCCTGGGAATTCTGGGGAGGGGTCCCGGGGGAATTTTTTTGGGAAGGATTTGGGAATTTGGGGAGGGGTCCCGGGAATTCCGAAGGGATTTGGGATCCCCTGAAAATCCACGAGGGGGGAAAATCCTGGGAATTTTGGGAATTCGGGGAGGGGTCCCGGGAATTCCGAACCCCTCAAAAAACGTTTTGGGACGGGGGGGGGGAAAAAAATCCCGGGAATTCCGGGAATTCCAGGAATTCCGGGGAGGAGGGAAAAGGAGGAGTCCCGCGGTTTTTAGGGAAGGGATCCGGGAATTTTAGGACGGATTTGGGAATTTGGGGAGGGGTCCCGGGAATCCCGAAGGGATTTGGGATCCCCCAAAAATCGTTTTGGGAGGGGGGAAAAAAATCCCGGGAATTCCGGGAATTCCAGGAATTCCGGGGAGGAGGGAAAAGGAGGAGTCCCGGAGTTTTTAGGGAAGGGATTCGGGAATTTTCGGACGGATTTGGGAATTTGGGGAGGGGTCCCGGGAATCCCGAAGGGATTTGGGATCCCCCAAAAATCGTTTTGGGAGGGGGGAAAAAAATCCCGGGAATTCCGGGAATTCCAGGAATTCCGGGGAGGAGGGAAAAGGAGGAGTCCCGCGGTTTTTAGGGAAGGGATTCGGGAATTTTAGGACGGATTTGGGAATTTGGGGAGGGGTCCCGGGAATCCCGAAGGGATTTGGGATCCCCCCAAACTCTTCCCAGGACGGGGGAGGGGTTGGGAAGAGCCCGAGAGTTCCGGGAATGGGGAAAAGAGAGGAATTTTGGGAAGGGGATCCAGGAATTTCGGGGAAGGGTCCCGAGGTTTTTTAGGGAAAAGATCCAGGAATTTTGGGAAGGGATCCGGGAATTCGGGGAATCCCAAAAAAAGGGGAAAAAAGAAAAATCCCGGGAGTTCCGGGAAGGAAAAAAAAAAAAAAAAAAGGCCCGGAAATTTTTTTGGAGGGGGGAGGAAAATCCAGGAATTTTTTTTTGGGGGGGGGGGAAAGGAGGGAGAAAAACGCGGGAATTTTTTTAGGGATGAGCGCGGGAATTTTTGGGGAGAAAGGATTTGGGAATTCCGGAAGGGATCCGGGGTCTCACCGCCTTTTCCAGGAGCGCGGCCCAGCCCTGGAGCCCGTTCATGGCCCCGCCGCCACTTCCGCCTCACCTGAGCCAGGTGGCCACGCCCACAGCGACCACGCCCTCCTTGGCCACGCCCACTCCGCCCGCGAAATGGATCCGTGGTGGCCACGCCCACTCCGCCCCCGAAATGGATTCTGGTTGGCCACGCCCCCGTTGGCCACGCCCATTCCGCCCCCGAAGTGGGTTCGGGTTGGCCACGCCCCCTTTGGCGCGCCCCCGGTGTTGTCGGTTTGGCCACGCCCCCTCGGCGTGTCCATATATGGGCATGAGCGCATATATATATGGGGAGGTGAGGCCACGCCCACTGGAGAGAGGCCACGCCCCCAAAGGGAGGGAATATGGGGAAATTGGGATAAAAGTGGGGGAAAATTGGGATAAAATTGGG